CTCGCTTTTCTTTACGTTATTATTGGCTTTAAACTTTCCAACTCAGGTAGATGCTCACACTAGACTTCTCTAATTATTATATTCTTTAAGTTGGAGGTAGTTGATATATTTTCTTTGTTTGTCGTATACTTGAATAGTGCAAAAATATCAAATTGTATTTTATGTTAGCACCTGACACTTGAGCTCTTTACAGGTACTGTTATTGTGCACACAATCGGTCATGAGGTATTAATAAAGTACAAGATTCATCTCTTTATTATTATGATAATTTAACTTTCTATTTTCGGTTGTTATTTACCTGTAACTTATTTTTTAGATAAAATTATAAAAAAATCATATAGTATATATTTTAATATTATTTATCCTTCAAGTCCTCTAAGTTATATATTAAGAGTGAAAAGTCTGTGAGAATAGAAATTTTAGGTACAAATATACATTCAGCAAATAAGAGTAGAGAATTAAGCACGATGTTTTAGCTTTACCTGAAATATGAATTAGTTAGATTGGGAGGTTATAACAAAGAAAACTAACCACTCTATAAATGTGACCTACATCTATTGATAACATTAAAATAATAAGTGCGAGAAGTTTCTCTAGTGAAATACTATTTCAAGTTCAAAACAGGAACACGAATTGAAATTTCACAAAAACACACCTAAAAACCAAAGTAAACAAGGAGAAATTGTACTAAATTTTCAAAAAACGGCTATTAAAGAAACAAGTTAACCCCCTATATTTTCTGTAAAACATGTGTACTTTTTAGATTTTTTGATAGACATAGAACTACAAAACCAAACAATCAAACTATTAATTGTGAAAAACACTAGCCAACACGAGAAAACACGACTAGAAATCAAACAAACAAACAAACAATTAAAAATCAAATCTAGCTTTGAAAGAGGCTAGTGAAACCACAAATCAAAACTCCAAACATGAAAATGGATCGAAACTCAAGCTGAAAGACAACCAGAAATCTAGATAGACAAAAAAAAACGAGAGCAAACAAACAACTGAGCCTGAAATATCTTTCACGCTAAGACATGTCAATGTTTTTCTTTTAACTTCTTGGAACAAACATGATTACAAACAAAATACTAAAGTTAAACCAAAGAAACACAAATATATGTCCAACGTACGAACCAAATTAAAATCAAACCACAACAGAGCACAACTACAAATCAAACAAGCAAACAAACAAAAATCACATCCAACTTTCAAAAAAGCTAGCAAAAACACAAATCAAAATTCGAAACACGAACATGGATCGAAACTCAAACTGAAACACAACCACAAATTGAGATAAAGAAAGAAAAACCACATCCAACTTTGAAAAACAACTAACAAACAAACAATTGAATATCAAATATCTTTCATAATAACACATGCTAATACTTCGTCTAACTTTTTGAAATAAACACGATTACAAATAAAACACCAAAGTTAAACTGAACAAACACAAATGTGTGCTCAACAAACCGATCAAATTAAAATTAGACCACAATAAAGTACAGTTACAAATCAAACAAACATACAAAAGTGAAACATATGACTTTACAAAATGATTAGCAAACACAAACAAAACTCGAATATCTAACGAAATCAAATGGTCGACAATATGAGCTTTTTGTAAGAAACACAACTAAACAAACTTGACAAACAAAAGTCCATTCAGTTGTGAAGAATCCTGACAAGCAAAGGCCTAAGCCTTTAACACCTTACATAAGTAAGTAGTGATCAATATTTTTGGGTTTTGGAAAGAAACACAGCTACAAAAGCTGAAATTTTTAACTTCTTGATAAGGCAAGACATCTTATATTACGATATAGGGACTTAATTGAGTAGGACTTTGAAATGTCATACTTTTATAGATAGTTAACTAACTCATGCAACTCTCACTCCTAGTGGTAAGATACTGAAACTGTCATTTTTGGTCTTATTTTTTGTAGTTTTTGTGTTCTTATTTCTCAGTTTGGTGTTCAATATTTTTATGTCATCTATTGATTATATTTATTGACAAATGTTGGCTGATATCTAATTCCCTATTGTAAATTATACAATTATTATTTGACTTTTTATTGCTGAAAATTGTTATATCATGAGTTGGTATTCAAGCGGTCAACTTAAGGAGGATTTGTGGTTGTCAATCGAAATACGGGTGCGTCTCAATCTTATCTCACAGTCAACTAAAATTACAGAGCATTATAGATATGAGTTCGATGTTGTTGTTTATACTACTACCATTTCAGCTGCTAGTAGATATATACTTACTTTTATTACGTTAATTATTGACTTCTTTAAAAATATTATAGAATATTTTATGTACATAATAGTATGATTATTTTCCCAATATATTAGTATGATTAGGAAGAAAGTTAATAAGATAATTTAATTGGTTACCTTCATGATCATTTTACATGTATGTATATCCCTATTCTCTAATCATTAATATAGAGTATTATTCAGTATTGTTATCTTTCTCTAACTCTTAACATGGTATCAGAGTTAAGGTTAGGGTTAGGATTTAGTTGTCAGAATACATCAGACTAAGAAAGGGTTGAACAACCATTCCCGGTGCCAGAGGAAGTCGACCACCGATCTTCGGCGTGTTCAAAGTGCAGCCAGTACGGTGGTGTATGCAGAATGAGAGAAGGAGGTCATTTGCATGGCTGTTTCAAGTCAGAATCGGGTTTGTCGACCATTTATGCGGGTGCTGGAAATCCTAGCATCGTGCCTATCCCATGCGAAGTCAGAAGGTGAAGGGAAGCTCAGTCGGTCTGTTCTGAGCACGAAACCAAAAGGTCAGGGCGGAGAAAACTCGAGATTCAGTAGATCGCGCGACAACAAGCTTTTCCGATTCTCTAGCGCGATTTGCTGCAATGTTGGGAGCTACATTCCGGATTTGGATGTGTATCCTGGTTCTGTGGTGATTTCCGACCAAAAGGAGATTGTT